CGCCCTGCAGTACCAGCCCCCCTGCTGTCCCCCGCTCCCCGCAGCCCAGCACCCCCTGCTGACTCCCACCCGCTCCCTGCAGCCCAGCGCCCCCTGCTGACCCCTGCCCTGCAGTACCAGCCCCCCTGCTGCCCCTCTGCTCCCCACAGCCCAGCGCCCCCTGCTGACCCCCCTGCTCCCCGCAGCCCAGCGCCCCCTGATGACCCCACCCGCTCCTGCTGCCAGGCCGCACTGGGGCACACACCTCCCCCGTTGCGGTAGCAGAGGTAGGGGAAGCGCCACACGTTGCCCAGCCCCACGGCATAGCCCACACTCGTCAGCACAAACTCAATCTGGTTGGTCCAGTTGCCCCGTTTCACGTTCTCGTCTCGCTTGGTCGCCTCTCCGGGGACGGCACCATTCTGCGGATAGAGGGGGCAGGTGCCATTAGCACTGGGGTGCCCCCCGCCCCCCAGGGCCCCGCCCAGCTGGAAAGAGCCGCCCCCGTGGGAGAAAATGGGGGAGGGGAGATACTGTGTTATGCAGCCAGCTCCCCTCCGATTGCGGCCCCCATGGCTGCTCCAATCCTCCTCCCCAGATGCTGGGGGGCCCCAGCCCTGCAGGGAGGAGGAGGGGAAGGGGGCCCCCAGCCCTGCAGGGAGGAGGAGGGGAAGGGGACCCTGGCCCTGCAGGGGGAGGTGGCAGTGGCCCCCCCAGCTTTGCCCTCTCCCCCCCCCTCGCCCGACTGCAGGGAAGCGGGAGGCTGTAGCCCATACAAAGCAGGGCTGAGCGGAGGCAGCACAAAGCCGCCTCTGTTCCCACCCCCACCCCCCCCGGCCTGCGGGGCCGCTGGGCAGCCGGAGCCTCGCACTGCGAGCCTGGAGCCGCGGGGGGAGGGGACTGACCCCCTAAACCCCCCACCTCCCCTGGGGGCCAAAGTGACACCCCCACGGGGGAGGGCGCCCAGGGGGTGGGAAAGCTGGCCCTGGGGTGTTGGGGGGGGGCAGGACTCCTGGGTTCCCACCCCAGCTCGGGGATCGGGATCTAGGGCAGGGGCTGATGTGTCTGTCGCTCCCCAAGTTACACCTCACTTAAAAACCCCTTGATCCAAACTCAGACCTAAACTAGAGAAGTGCCCGGCCGCCGGTCCTGGGCGATTCCTCCGAATCAGGAGAAATCAGTGGGTTGGAATATTCCACTGGCCTTGTGTGTCCGTGTGTAGCACACACAGCCGTGTACACAACTCCTGACTTGGCTAGTGCTTCTCATGCCGCCCAGGCACCTCCCTACCCCCCGGAGGAGCTCGGGCCCCCGGGGTACCCGCACCCCAGGCCGAGACCCACTGCGCTCCCCCTCCCTTCTCCGGCCCAGTCGGCAGGGCAGTGGGTCTCAACCGGGTGGGGTACAGAGTCACTTGCTTTTATAGTTGCAGGGTCAGATGGAGGAGGGCTGGTGGCTGGGACACTGCGTCCAGGACTGATTTTGGGAGCAAGGCACTTCTAAGGGAGGTGAAACTTGGGGTCCACAGGACAAGGCAGCTCCCTGCCGGGGTCCCCTGAGAACAGCTGCCATACAGCGTGTGTTACCTGGTGGAACTGGGGGGATGAGGTGTGTGTTGGGGTGACAGAGGGCCCAGAGTCATCACAGTTCACGCTCACGCACAGCACAGGGAGGGGCGGACCCCCCTCTCCAGGGCAGGGTCCGGAAGCTGACCCCCAGCCGGGAGGGTCAGGATGGGCCCTGGGTGGGGGATCGTCCCCCATCTGTTGCTGTGGGGTTCCTGCTCCCCCATCCACACGTGGTGCTGGGCATTGCCCACGCTGGGACAAGGGGCTGGATGGGCCATGGGCGAGCGTGCCCAGTGAGCCCTGCGGGCCGACGCTCAGAGCCTGCCGGGACGGGGCTGCGGGTTTCCTGGTGAGGCAGATGTCTGGCACCCAGCCCACACCACAGCTCCCTGCCGAGAGGGGCACCTGCGTTCTAGGTCACCCCAGGGACCACCAGAGGGGAGACCAAACCGGCTCCTGGGGCTGACAAAATCCGTGGGGGAGCTCTAGGCCTCCCTGCAAGCCCTCCCCACTGCGGTGAGAGACGTCCCTGGCACCTCCCGCCCAGTGAATGCACAGCGGAGACTACAGGGGCCCGCCCAGCTGGGCCCTGCCCTGCCCCACGACACCGAGTGCTCAGTGCCAGGGCGGGAGCTGGGCGCCCGATGCCAGGTGGGCACTTCCAGCACAGGCCAGAACCAGCTCGTTCTCTGGGGGGCAAGAACGGCGCTTTGTCCTGCGGGGCGGCCGGTGTTGGCACCGGGCTTGGCGCACAATGCAGCCTCACACCCAGGGCCCAACAAAGGAGCGGCTGCAGCTGGCGGCAGCCCGGGGCCCAGCACCCCTGGCCCTGGGCAGGGGCACTTG